TGGGGGAGCAAACAACTGTGCATATCTCTCTATCAGTGTTATAGAGGGCGAACAATTTATGAGTTTGCCCTGCATAAGCTTTATGCAGGGTAAAACGGATTTATTTGGGTTTAGACCCCATTGGGAGTTGGGCATCTGAGTGCTAAAGACAAGCACACTACTGTGAGCTGTTTTCAGGTAAACTTGCAGCTTTGGGGCAAGTGATTCAGACCCTGGGTCTTTGTTGGAGCAGATGGGCATGTCTGGCTCAGCAAGACAGGGTGCTGGAGTCCTGAGCTGGCAGGGAAAACAGAAGCAGGGGTAGTCTTTGCTCATCAGGTGGCAGCTCCTGAGGGGGTTTCTGTGATCCAACCCGTCACAGGCTCCGCCCCCTGGCCAGTCCAGAAGCTGGAGCCAGGCCATGGTAAGAGCCACCCAGGGAGCCCCAGCTGCTGTGGAGAGCCCCGGACTCTCCACCTGCCCTGGGTGCGGGATTGGGGTGCCCGAGAGCAGCCCCCAGCCCATGTCCCTGCCCTCCTGGTGTCACTTGCCAGGGCAGGTGGAGGGTCCGTCGCCCCTGGTCAGGTCCCTCTCTCCCTGGTAACCCAGCTATACAAGTGCAGCCACAGAAAAACCCTGGCTAATCCTCAGGCTCCTGTGGCCAGAGAGAAACACATTTCCCTGCTCCTCTGCTCCCAGCCAGCTTCCACACTGCCCTGCTAAGGGCCTGAAGCTCCTTTTACCTGAGCCTGCTGGACTCTGATTGGGTGTCACTAGCCCTTGAAAGGTCACGTATCTGTAGTTTCCAAGATGGCTGCTCCAGAGAGGCCTGCAGGAGCTCCTTTGCTGCTTCATTCCTCCCACTTCGCTGCTTCCTGGGGCAGGGTGTACCAGGACCATGGGGCCTCCTGTAGAAAACCCTAAAGGCCACGTGCACCCTGTCACAAACACCTTCATCTCAATGAATAGGCTGCTCATACAACACTTACCTGCAATGCTCACCTTTGAGAAGTTTCTCCGCTGTCCTTTGGGTCGTGTGCCCAATACAGAGAAGGCTGTGGGGCTGGTTCCTGTGAAACACAGCCCAGAAAGGCTGGTGTAGCTGGACTTCAGACTGCAAGTCCTAGGGAGTAGCTATTCCAAAAGGCAGGTGGTATCAGGGACCACTGCCTGCTTGGGCCAGTCAATACTGGCACCAGATTTGTGGTAATAGAAATAATGATAAATTCCAGAGGGGAGAAAGGCATTGGCTTTCTTTGTGCCATTCAATCCTTGGCTCTCTGCTAGAGTTGGGTGAAACTTTTCACACTAAACTATTTTTGGTGACAAATGCAGATTTGGTGACACAAAAATATTTTGTGAGTTCATGTCAATTTTGCCATATTGTTCATTTTGGGGAACCCTCCTCCCCAAATTCCTGAAAAAAATCAAATTGTTTTGATGTTTTCTAAGTGTAACCCCTCAATGTTTTGGCTTGAACCAACTTTTCATTTCAAAATTTCCTTTCATTTTGTTTTTAAAAAAATCTAAAAATGGTCAAAATCTAAAATGTTACAGTTTTATGAAAACAAAACATTTTGTTCAATCCTAAATATTGCTTTTATCTTTGTGATTTGCCGAAAAATTTGAACATTTGTGTTTTTGGTTTGATCCCAAACAAAAATTTTGTCTCGACTTTTTGAAATTGCCAACAAATGGAAAATTCCATTATTCACCCAGCTCTAATGTCTACAGAGACTGGCTGCAAGGGTGTATCTCGCTCCAAGATGGCACAAAATACCCAGAGATCAGGATTTAAAGTTTTAAACAGGTGGTTTATTTAAAAAGTAAAATAAAAACAACCAGAAATACAACCAAACATAAAAAGATTGAGCCAGATGCAGGACATTTAGGCAAGTTTCAATATATCTTAAATGTTCCTATAAGTTACCAAACTTACAACCACAAGGGTATGTCTACACTGCGTAAAAAACCCATGTCACTGAGTCTCAGAGCCCGGGTCAGTTGACTTGGGGTCTCAGGGCTCAGGGCTATGAAACTGCAGTGTAGATGTTCAGGTTTGGGATGGTCTCAAAGCCCAGGCTCCAGCCCGAACATCCACACTGCGATTTTATAGCCCTGCAGCTCAAGTCCCACAAGGCCTAGTCAGCTGAGCCAGGCCAGCCATGGCAATGCTGCGGGTCTTTTATTGCAGGGTAGACGTATCCGAAGGATGACTGTTATAAAGGTCACCTCACGCTAAGGATCCCTGATTTCCAGATAGGCTTTTTATAGCCGGAAGAAATTTCCCATGATTGCTCTTAAAGGACCTGATGCAAGGTCTATAGAAGCCAGTGGGAGACTCCCCCACCCAAACCTCCCACCCACCTTTCCCCTATAAGGCTCTTCTCAAAAGAAGCCAATAAGCAATTAGAGAAAAATCACTCAGTCACACTACAGGGGAGAAAAAAGCCATGCCCATTTGCTTGGGGACTGGCTACACCATGAGGATAGAGAGACTGGTTATAAACCAATGGCTTCCTTCTTGCGGCAGCCATATTTACCTGGGAGGCATGACTCCTCTGTCTACATAGGGCTCTCCAGCCTTTTATCTGTGGAGGAACCGGGAGATGGGGAATTTCTCTTTATGGCCCGGGCCCCTTACCCCCTGCCCTGCTCTGCAGAGCAGTTGCCAACCCCTCGGGGTGGTGTGTCATAGGAGTTGAGGCCCATCATAGTGGGGTTTTTGTTACCTGGCGGCCTTGCCTACTAAGAACTAGGCCTCATTTTGCATGGGACACCGGGCTGTCAGATGATAACGCTTTTCAGCCACTGCTGACATGCTGCTAGATTAGCATCAATGATCTGGAGGCTTCAAAGTCTGTGCCCTTCACCCACCCACAGTGAAGGCCTGTCTGGGTCGCTGCCTGGGACAAAATCCAGTGATGAAGAGAGAGGGGCCATAGTCACTCTGAAGCCATTGGACACTGGCTACGCTGTTCCAAAGCCGTGCAAAGCAGCAACACCCCTGGCCGTTCCCCCAGTGCAGCAGACCCCTGGATCAGGACTTTCCAGGGTGTGTGGCCAGGGCAGCTCTGTGCGCTGGCTATTCCCCAGCTGCCACGGGGACCAGGGGTAGCCAGGTGCAAATTAGAGCATCCCTCAAGCTGTTTTAACTAGATCAGGGTCAGGATTCCAAGCTGCCACTCCCTGTTCCTGTGCTGGGTTTGTGCTGACGGAGGGTTGAATGCGGGCCTGGGAGAGCGCAGCTAGATACACGGGTGATTGTCACATGTTTGTTTGGAGGTGCTCCTGCCCCATGTTTCACTCTGGCCCCCTGCCTGCTCTCAGATCTCTCTGCCCAGGGGGCACTCATGCACAGCTGACGTGCTGCCCCTTTGACAGATTCATTGACCAATTCCCCATGCAGCCTACAGGGAGCGCGGGCTAGATGTTACCTCTTGGTTCAAGGCAGAGCAGGCCGGGGAACATGCTTTAAAGTCTCATCTGTGGGCAACACACAGGCCTGAGCCCGTCCCGGAAGAAGGGGAGAGCAGGTCCCTCGGAACTCAAGACAGGGACTGGGATGGGAAGAACATTGGCAGTAACTGAAGGAAATCTGTCATGCAGGCAGGGGGCCAGAATTTGCTCCTCAGAGAAGGAGGAGCTGCTGCTTCTGCGCTTGGGCCGACTTCTCCTCAGGTTCTTTCTTGGGTCCCCCACTCAGACTGGTCCTTCGGATCATAGGCCGTATCACTGTAAGTTGGCGGATGAGGCAATTCTGCAGTGGGCACCATGAGGTCCGCCCTGATGGTGTTGGGCACAATCAGCATGGACTGGAAAACAGGGAAATCAGCCTCTGATTGGCATCATCATCACCACCACTTGGCATCATCATCACCACCACTATCACCCACATGCAGTCTCAGAGGAACTGAGACAATGCCCACCGAGGTCCATGGACATCTCTCCAATGATTCCACTGGACCATGTCCTGTTCACCAGCAGCATCCGCTACACCCACTGCCATCTTCCTGGCATCATTTGAATCATAGTGGCCACCACGCCCATGTTACCCCACTAATAGCCCCACTGTTGCCTCCCTGAGATATGCTCTGCTAAACAGGGATGGGGTTAAATGGAAGCAAACCTCTTGCCATGCTTCCCAGACATGGAGCTGGCCAGGATGCCCGTGGGATCAAAACGCTCACCTCATGGGAGTTGAGGCGGGTTGCCCGGCACCAAAAGAGTGCGGTGGCGACTGCAATGCAGAACTCCAGGATAGTGAAGATCAGCAGCACGATGGAGATCCCGTTCCCGGCCTGCTCGAGAACAGAAAACCACAGCAGCATAGCCATTAACACCATATACCCCCGACCAGGGCTGAGGCTGCTGTGTGCTACATACAACTCACACCCTCTCCTGCCTTGAACTGCCCCCCAGAGTCCATTCCTGGAGGCACAAAAATCCAGTTCCACTTCTTCTCCTCATCCAACGAGGTACACCAAGAATCCATTCCAGTGGGCCCCCCCCGGTATCAGCTCAGACTTTTCTATCTGCCAGGATGCTGCACCCCAAGGGCCAGATTCTTCACTGGTGTAAATCAGCTTTGAATTGGCTTCAATGGAGCAACATCGATTTACACCAGATGAGGATCCGTCCCCAGTGTCATCCTCAATCCATGTTTGCAGGGTTATAGCTGTGCAGGCCCCAGGATATGGGTGAGGCAAAATCTTTTATTGGACCAACTTCTGTTGGTGAAAGAGACACGCTTTCCAGCTAGACAGAGCTCTGCTTCAGACCAACTTCTGTTGGTCCAATATAAGATTTTGCCTCACCCACCTTTTCTCTCTCTAATCCTCAATCCATATTATTTAGCATCTAGAATGTCCTGGGCACATCCCCTTCAGATTCTTGACTTAGACTTCAGCGCTAACAAAGAGGAAGCCCCGTCCCTTCTCCAAGGGAATCTATCTCAGAGTTTATGCCTTGACCAGTGCATGATGGGGCAAGGACTTGGGAGTTCTGCTGGTGCTGTGTGAAGATTCAGGGAGTGTAGTTTAGGGTCCCACCTCAACAAAGCACTTTCATTCCAATTTTAACCTTTTTATACTTTTTTTCTTTAAAAAAATATAAAAAACAATGAAGTTTGTTTTGAAATAGTCCTCTCAAAACGTTCTGTTCTGTACATGCTGAAATGGGATATTTTGACATTTTCAAAACTGCTTTTCCCCAATTTTTCTTCCTAAACAAAACATTGTCACTGCTGGCACATTTTTAAACGTTTCAATTTTGACAAAAGCAGCATTTTTTGTCTAAAAAGAGGGTCACTCTCAAAATGCCAACCAATGCCAATGTAATTTGTGCCATGCTCATCACCTTAGCATCTCAGCCCCCTCGCCACTGTTCCCATACCTACAAAGAAGACTAGATCCTCCTCTGTCTCCATCTCTCTTAGAGCAACAACAGATCTCCCCAAGATGTTCATTCCAAACCAATGATCTGTGAATAGAAAGCCGCTGGCAGGATCTGGACAGTCGCTTACCATCACTAGATAGTTGTAGTAGTCATAGTTGGAGTGGTACAGTCCATTTATATTCAGGTCTATTATAAAAGCCACTATCCCAAGTAATGCAAAGATGGCACTGATGACATTCATGGTCTGGCTTCCTTTCACCTGGAACATACACACAGAGGGGGGAAGGGATATTGCTAGGTGTGGATGAAATAAATAATCAGCTGGAATCTGGTTAGTAACTTGTACGTAATCTTGCAAGTAACTTGAACCAACCCTCTAATCTGAAACCATGGATCTGTGTATCCTGGCTTTGTCTGGACCCAGGGGATAAAAATCCACATTCTGAAAACCCAGCCTCTGAAGCTTTTCCGAGGGTTGACCTGTAATAGGAAACTCCAGAGATCACGAGACGATGTTTCCAGCCTGGGATCTTGCAGACCAAAGAGCTCAGGAAGATTAGATGTTAATGTGGAGAATGAGAACATCCATAGCCACATTAGACAGGATTAAAATTAATTTAGACTAGGTATAAACTCTCTTGCTACAGAGAACAAACCAGTCATCAGCTATCTGTGGGTAGGAAGGAACTTTCAATAGCGGCAGGTTATGGGGTTTCTTGCACCTTCCTATGAAGCATCTGATATTGGCCACCACCAGAGACACGGTTCTGGGCTAGATGGCCTTGGGTGTAATCCAGTGTGGCAGTTCCTGTGTTGCTCAAGTTTGGAGGAGCATCTGAACTTTGGGTGTATAGCTGGCCCTCATGAGGTTGGTCCATAATTTGGTTATAGCTCCTCATAACATGGCTGCAGCTATGCAACTGAGAACTGTTATTGGTGGATGAAGGTTACGAGCCTACATAGAACTCGTTGGCCCCTCTGTATCCATCTCCCTATTGTATCCCTCTCCCTGGAATATTTCTGAGATGATGGTTTTCCTCATTCAGACAAACATCTCAGGACTTAGAGTGAGGGCTTTTCTGATCTTCACACAAACCTACCCACTGGACTGCAACATAACCTCTCTCTCCACTCCCTGAACTTTTAACAGAGGGCAAACCCCCACCACATGCTACAGGGGGATGCCATGAAATATCATCAGATACTTCATGTGAACCCCACCCCTGACCTGGAGAGGTTCCTCTCCCACACCAGAAACCACACCTCCTGGGGGAGGGGAGGAATTCAGCCTTTGTGTTCACCTGCTGCCTGGCATTCTGCTTTCACCCTGGTTCGAGTGGAGTTAAACTAAAGCCTCCAAAGAGAAGGCAGTGCTAGGACTTACTGCGCATTCGGTCGGGCTCTTCTCAGCTCCAATAGAGAGGCAGCCAGAAATGATGAACTGTGTGGGGAAGGGGAAATAATCATTGTCAGGTACACCTTGTTCACGGCTGGTTGCAGGGCTGCTACTAGCCCATCAGGCATCTGTACCAGATATGGCCTAGCTACAGAGCTTCATTATATACCCCAGATGCATACGTTGTAAGATCCTTTAATGCACTGTCAGGAATGGCTGCTGTGAGCTTAAGTAAGGAATGTCACAGGGTATGTCTACACTACGAAATTAGGTCGAATTTATAGAAGCCGGTTTTATAGAAATCGGTTGTATACAGCCGATTGTGTGTGTCCCCACATAAAATGCTCTAAGTGCATTAGTTCGGCGGACCGCGTCCACAGTACCGAGGCTAGCGTCGACTTCCGGCGCATTGCACTATGGGTAGCTATCCCACAGTTCCCGCAGT